ATTTCTTAGCAAAGTTTTAATCAGGAGACAATCGTGACGTATGATGTATTTTAGATGCATAGCAAGTTTCAAACATGGCTGTTTGCTTCCAACAACCATAGAGAAGCATCTCTTGATAGTTTCAATCCTCAAACAAAGCTTGCTGGGAAGTATGCTGGCATGCCAATCATGTTTCTTTTGAAACTTTAATGAGTTTAGTGCACTCTCAGAAGCATTCAACACATAATTTCATCATTTCAGTCAAACGAAATCATGTTTAGGTTTTGAAATGGGTCTCTAAATAAAATAACTTACATCCTGTATTTTCTATGGGGTTACTCCAGTGATTTAGTGTTGCACTTCTATAAAGTTGGGGGACTAACAAGAAACATATTTGAAAAAGAATGGTCTTAGTCAATAGAAAAGCTGAGATATCCTGATTTTAAGTCTATGGGTAAAGCTCTGAGTCATTTTTCATTAGACCCCGCCCACATCCAAAGGTTGCCAGCTAAACTGAAACAACTCTAATGGCATTTATCTGGGTTACTTTTTCAAACTTGCTCTAGAGCCATGAGTATGTGATGAGTAAACAGAACTTTATGTATAGTATCGGTGGTGTGCCCTTTTAAGTAACTGATAAAACATTAGTTGTTTCCAGGTTATTTCTGTATGATGTTTATCAGAATCTAGTTAATAAATGTTTTCCACAAGAGGTTAGAGAGGAGATATTTCTGACGTGAGGCTTGTGGGTGATAATCAAACGTATGTATTAGGTAGATATCATCACTCATAGGGAATATTTGGGGTGTGTCTCGATCAGTCCTCACCCAAATCTGTATTTTCTCCTTCCACCTGAAGATAAAAAATCATGGCAGCCAGCAGGAAGCCCCAACTCAAAGACTCAGAACCCTTTGAGTGACATCAGAGAAACTCGGTCCACATCTGTCTGGAGTGCCTGTCTGTCCGTCTGTTTGTTATTTTCTCTCAATCCCTCCTCTCTCCTGTCAGCTTTTTCAGTCTGCCTCTTTCCCTCCATTTTTCTTTCTAGTAAGACTCTCATCATGGCGGCTGAAGGCAGCTCTTTCTGCTCTGTCGGTTACAATAAGTGGATGTGTATGGCATGTGTACTGTAGGTGTGTGTGTCTGTGTGTGTGCATGTGTGCAACATAGATGCATCAACCCATTACCTTGGGTCACTGCAGGGTGAGAGCACACCCTAATTCAATCACACACACTCAGTGCATGAAATCAGGCTTTGATAACTTGTGCTAACTTAGGATAACTTGTGCTTTGTTTAGGCTGTCATGTTGTGTTCCGGCACCCTAATGTGACCCTATTAGCTTCAAGACTTCAGGCCAGGAGGTGCCGGAACAGTCTCCTGGCTAGTTAGCCTGGCTAGTGAACTTTTAAAAAAGTAGCCTATACTAGAGGTGGACATCACAAATTATTTTGCTTAGTTGTTCAGTTTAGATCAGTTTGTTACATTTAGTTCAAAGACTTATAGTAACTTTTTGGCTAGACATCAACAGCAAGGCCACCCGTAGAAATGTGAATGTCTGTGACTGACTGAATGACTGAAAGATGAAGTTACACCATTGGCCAGCTGGCAGCTAACGTGAATGAACTTCTTACTTTCTTTCTCTGAGGGATCATTCTGCAAGTAAATATAGCAAAAATCACAGCTCACCCCTCGTCTTTATCTTATGTGTATGCTGATTTTGTCAGACGACGTAGTGTGGCTCCAAAAGTTTGTGACCACTGTAGTTGTTTACAGCTGTTCTACAACAAATTTCAACAACATCCACAGTTTCGTACATTTCACTTTGCCATGTACTAGGTTCTGACCTTGTTTCTTTACACCATGCAACTGCATTATTGTTTAGAACACTGTTAACACTGTGGTGCTGTCTTTACTTCAGTCTCTTGAACTTTAAATTGAGTCTCTTCATGGCTCAAACTGTTTCAATCATTTCAGGACAAATCTAGGCTCATATTAGCAGCGTTCATGTGGACACAGGCTCAAGCAACCTCCTATCTACACCAGAGAAAGAACTCTGAAGTAGTGACAACATACACAGCAAAAAAAATCCATGTGTCCCCAGACGATCATTGGCACCTGTGCTCCTTTTGAATGCTTTAAAGAAGCATTGATTGATTTTTTTTTTGGCATCTCATGGCAACAGAACAAGAAGTAAACACAACACTGACCTGCTGTCACCTTAGAAATTTGTTCAGGAGATATTTTAATTATTATTAATATTGATATGTTAGGAAAGAAAGAATGAGACAGAAAGGAGAAGTAGGGCAGGACTGTTTTAGTATGGTGTACAGAGCAGCACATTTCTATCTATGAGACGAAATAGTCACAAATGCACACGGCACATACATGGAGAAGACTCTGTTCCATCCTCTTTCTGTGTGCGGCTGACACAGCCGCACACAGAAATACTCCGCAGTCACTGGCACAGCTGACAATAATACCCTCACCATAAGCTGATACATGCTTCAAGATCCAGATACTTCAGTATTCCCCTGTGTGTATAAGTCTTTGCTTCTTTACATGTGTATATGGTGAAGTGCCACTCTTGAATACAGGACCACACTTTTAAACAATCCCATTACACTTGATGCCTTCCATGGGGGTAGTGGTGGGGTGATGGGGGTGGGGGTGGTGTATGTGTTTCTGTGTATAAGTGTCAGGTCTGGTCACACACATATACAGAATATGTTGTGAGCTATAGCCAAGCTGCTTATGGCTTCAGTTTAAAGCATTGTACACAAACACACACAAAAATTGTACACACAGAGTTTCATGTTTTCTTCTAGGTAATTACAGTGTTAAGTAATGACGACCCCACAACTCTCATCCTGACCCCCTCTGGAGGTATGTGTCTGTGTGATCCCGTGTGTGTGTGTGTGTGTGTGTGTGTGTGTGTGTGTGTGTGTGTGTGTGTGTGTGTGTGCGTGCATGTGCCTGTGTGTGAGAGTCCCAAGGGTGCTAGTTAAGTATAGTAAGATAGATTTGACACCCAAGGCATTCAGCAGGAGTCAGACGGGGAGAGAGAAAGACCTGTTTTTAGTCCTCCTCTCTCCCTTATTTTCTCTTCACTTCGTCTCTCCCAATTCTCTCATACACCCCTCACCTTCCCAATCTTTATCTCTCTGTCTGCATCTATTATTTCTCCCTTGTTCTCCATTTTCGTCTCCTACCGTTTCTGAGCCTGTTTATCTCTCACCACATTCTCCATTTCTCCCTGTCCTTGCTTTTTCTGCATTTCATACATTTACTTCACATTGTGGGCATTCATGCGTCTCTCTTTTCCATTTGGTTTTGAGGTAACAGAAACAATTCATCTCCCCCTCCAGTGCTGTTTTGCTATTCTCTGTTTCTCTTTGTCTCTAGGTTTTTCTGTCTTTCTGTGGGTCGTGGCCTCTGACTCAAACAGGCCTGTTCTCTCTGCTCATCAGATAGAAAGCAAGATACCGCAGGACTGCTGCAAATGTTTTACAAAGGGAGCGGTGCCCTCATGCATTGCCTGCATCTGTGGTGTTGTTCATTGCACTTTCTGGAGATCACCTGTCAAACAGTCCAGTGCTGTGACATCTTCCAACTTTTTCAATTTTACTGGGGAGTGAAGTCAGAAATGATGGTAGTAGCACTGCTTTATTTCATTCAGCTGTTTCAGTAAATCTACCCTAATGTTTGAAATTAAGCTTTGGAGACTTTAGCTTCTACATCTCACATTCATTAATGACAGTACTCAGTTAATGTCTTAATTAGCTTGGAGGCAGTTCACATCCACAAATATTATACTATACTATAATAATATACTGCCATAAAAAGTAGCATCAATTCTTGAGCTGGAGGGGTATTCCTTGTTAGCAGAGAGATAGAATATGTCCCAGGTAACAAGAGCGGACATGATTTTATATTTAGCAAGCCTGAGTAAAAAATAAAGCAGTGCTTTTGGGACAACACACATTGGAAGCTTTGAAACCAGAGGTTCACTTCTTGTTTATGGCTGTCTATTTGACAGTAAATTATAGTTAAGCAAATTAAAAAGACTATTACTTTAGGTAATGTTTAATCCCTTCAATGGTATAGTTTGACAATTTGGGAAATACACTTGTTTGTTTTATTGCTGAGAGTTAGATAATAAGATTGATACCACTGTCATATCTTTACGCTAATTATGGAGCCAGAGGGCATTAGCCTTGCTTAGTATAAAGACTTGAAGCAGGGGTAAACAGTGAGCCTGGTTCAAAATACTACTAATCTATGAATGTCTTAAGTTCAGTAACTAACATGTTGTATCTTGTTTGTTTAAAGGAGCTATTTGTAGTTTTACTATATTGCAATGTAGCCAACATTAGCATTAATGGCTGTTTACTTAGTAGTCTTGCCAAGTGCTTCAGCTATCATTGTGTTTACAACACGAGAGATTATAATACGCACTCTGAGCAGTGCTACCTCTTCGGGACTGGATGCTACAGTGACACAGTAGCGGACAATAATGAGATGGGCCATACAGGCCGGGGATAGCTGGTTAGCATGCTAACTTCAGTAGAAGATAAGGGGTGATAGAAATAGAGGCAAAACAAAAGGGTTAGTTTCTTATTATTATTATTATCCTTATTATAAGTTTTATCTTCTTTTGCAACAGAAAGTAACTATGGTGTGCCACAGGGCTCCGTTCTAGACCCCATATAACATTTCCTGTTCTTCCCTGTAAAGCATAAACTGTTTTTACTTCAGTGCTACATATTTACATTTTGGTTATGATGATGTTAATGATGGTTTCTAGTAGTATAGACAAGCAGAGTGATAGAGACAAAATGAAAAATCTGAACCATATGCTGCTGGTTGTTTTTATGACTAATTTACCTACTAGCAACTATAATGAGATGGTGCTATGTTGGCAGGTTTTCTCTACATTTGTGGCACTTCTTTAATTCTTTCTAACTAATTGGAAAAAGTGGGAAATATGGAGGAAAGGGAAGAGAAAGAGAGAGTAATGTACCTTTCTTCTGCAGAATAGCACTCCCGCTGCGCCTTCCTATATGGTTCTCCACATAACAGGTGTAGTTGGCCAGGTCTGCCTCCTCCACAGCATCAAACATTAAGGACAACTGCACTTCCTTCTCCCCTAAATGCTCCCTCAAGATCCTGGACAAACAAAGAGACATTGATAGTAGTTAAAGACAGCAGAAACTTCTTTGCCCTTAGATTCATTCATTTAAAAACCCTTTAAGGAATAGGAGGTGGAGGATATGAGAAGACCAGAAAGAACACAAATGTAACATCAGAGGGAAGTGGAGTTTCCTCTCTCCCAGATTACTGCTTAAAAAATCAACAAAGAGGAAAAGCAGAGAAGATACAGGAGGAAGATGAAGAATGAGGGAAGAGGAGAGAGAAGCAAACGTGCAAAGCTTAGAGACAGGAGGAGTTCTATGTCTCCCAAATTACTCCTCTAAAAATCCCTGCAAGGAGGAGCAAGATAACAGGAGAGAAGTGAATAGGAAGAGCAGGAGAGCAGTGAAATGAGCAGCAGAGCCGTGTGGAACAGAGTAGAGAGCAGATGAAAAAGGAGGACAGAGAGAGCAAGGAGGCATGTGTAGAAAACACTGGCGACAGCTGGAAAAAGCTCCTCTCCTTATGGTTAGGTCATACTCCTCAAAAGCCTGCAAGGAGGTGGAGGTGGACGAGGATACTGAACTAATGTTTGGGTCACAACGTGCACCTATAAAGCAGATTTAAGGCCAGATTCAGCCATAAACAGTGATACCTGAGATCACACTGACTGTGCTGGGGTGACAGATTCAGAGCTGTCAACACAGATGGTCCAGCAGCATCACATTTTCAGAAATTTCTACTAGTCAACCCTAAAGTGGCCGTAATAACAGAGACCTATAACCTATTTTCATTTAAAGGATTTTCATGCATTTAAATTTCATTAATATTTGTATACATTTTTTTATATATGAATTACTGAAATCATTTCCTATTTTAACTTCTGTTCATATGTGTTGCTGTGATTTATATTAAAATTTTATGTGGTTTTTAAGTCTGTTTAGCTTTTGTCCGTTTTGCTCTCATTATTTGTTTGTGAATTTGAATATCATGTGCTTCTTGCGGTGTAGGTCTGTGGTTGTTTCAGTAATGAAATTGATGGTAAATTCAACAGTCAAATCATGTTTTTTAGTTGAGGGAGCCTATTTCAGCAACTGACCCAGGCTAAGCCCTGTTTTTAATGATAACAGAGACAGATTTACCTCTTGTGATTTGTGGTAATTGAATCAGTCGTTTCTTGAGGTAGCCAAAAAGCAGTTTCTCATCTTTACCCATTGACTGCTGCTTTACCAGCTGAAATCACAACTGGCAGATTACTAGCTAGCTACTAACGCACCTAAACTCCATCATATGATGATGGTTGCATACATTACATCATGCTAACAAAGTGCAATGCAGGAAAGATTTAGGCTAAAGCTTACAAGTTACAGGTGAAAAAATCAACATCTTCACCATTTGATGATTCAAAAACAGATCAGTTAGGAGGACAAACAACACTGTGTGTTTCACTTTTATACAAGGATATGGGAATGAGTACAAGCTCATTAACAAAGTCATCTTAGGTAAATATCCCCAAATCCAATAAGGAGCAGCATTGCTAACAGCTAAGATTGTCAATCACAATTAAGGGATGTTTAACAGTCAAGTACAATAATGCAAGTCAGAGTTGACCATTTCATTTTTCCCCAACCTCTTTGCTATGAACAAAATCTTTCCAGTGGTTAAGAAGGGAAGATTATTTTAAAATCAGCATATTGTGAAATAAACTCAGACTCAGAGTTGTCTCAGACTTGTACAGACCCAGTACAAATGGGTGAGGAGTGTGAAGTGAGACAAATCCAGACAGGCTTTTGGAGACTCAAATGGGCGATGACACCAATGTGGAATGCCTTGTTCAAATATAGAAGGCCTTGTGTCTGCAACCAGTGTTGCATTTTTGGATTAAACTGTAATCATGGTGAGAGAGGTCAGAGAGGTTTGATTTTCACAAAATGAAGCAGGACATGCCAGTGTTTGAGAAGAAATATAGCAACAATGGGCTATCTATGGGGTATTACAGTGCAGTACTACAACGCAACTATGAAAATTTGTATGTACTGTTGCCTATACAGTATATTTCAATAGGTAATGTTATATATCCACTTGTCCATCATTTAAAAAGTAGCATAAAGATTACATTTTTAATTTGTCTGATGAAGTGGCTAAAGTCAAAAAAGTCTGCACAGTGCTGACACAAACCTGTTTCTTGTTGTTGTAGTAAGTTGTTGATAGTAAAGCAACCTGTAAAGAAATGTATGCATTATGACAGAGCTACAGTGGAATCCCATTGCCATTTACAGTTTAGTAAAAAAGAATTAAAGGAGAAGACCACCAGAGGAGAGAGAGAGAAAAGAAACAACAAAAAAGAGGTAGTTGGTTATCATTAGTTGAGTTGTGGCCTGCTGAGATTCACTGTGTTATGGTGTGGTTTGGTTCAAACCAATAGTCAGCAGGGTTTCTGAAAATAATGAGCTAGTTTAGTGCCAGAGAATAGACCAGACAGGCCACAAACTTCTGTAATTCTTCCTCTTCAGAGTAGCCTATGTTCTGATTTAAAACCACAGAAAAAAAACAGTAGTCTAGACTGACCTGCTTCAAAACACACAGGTTTAAACTAGATCAAAGTTGGCACAATACATCCATGTCAAACAGGACAGAGGTAACGTATAGTAAATTCATGTGGTTTTGTTGGTAACTCACCCTGAAAAAGAACCATATCTGTCACTTAAGGCTTTTACCCAAGTGCTTGCATGCATAGAATTTCCACACACACACTTTTAGCATGTGTGATCCCTGTGGGAACTGAACTCCTAACCCTCTCAATATAAATGCTCATGACCCATTTAGCAAGAGAGGAGCAGAAAAAGGCAGTGAGTCTTATCAATGTTATGATGGTAAACATTACAGAAAGAATTATGGGGCGAAAAAGGTCAAGTGTTCCTGAAGAAATAGACTAGGCTACTGGAATCACCTCTGTGTGTGGTTTTTTCCATTTTCTTGCTTTCCTTCTCTGCGTGTTAGTGGTTTTGAGTATGTGCATCACTCTGATGAGTGACACACAATGACTCAGAGCATCAGAGGTCACTGTCAAAAGCAGTGACTTGTTAAAACCCTTGATTAAAAACACGTCACTTCTTCCCTTCCCTTTTCTCACTTCTTCTCTCCCTTTTTTCTCACCCCTCCCCCCGAAACACACACACACACACACACACACACACACATACACGCACACACATACACGCCCACACATGCACACACACACACATACACGCCCACACATGCACACACACGCACACACACACACACACACACACACACACGCGCACACATACACGCCCACACATGCACACACACGCACACACACACACACACACACACACACACCCACACACACACACACACACACACACACACATCGCATTTCTCTCTCCTCTCACCTCCTTCAATCTCTCTCCAATTTGTAACTGTAATGCTGCTTGATGCCTACTATTAAACACGCTCCTTCCATCTCACTAAATTACACCGGAGTAGTGAATAATGATGTCTTCTGCTCATCTTTGATTGTTTTTATATAACACATAATACCTGAGATCTCCTTATGTCACGCTCATGTAATACTAATGTGATTAAAGACTTAGCAGTTGAATTGGGAACACCACCAACCACACCATTTTTCCTTTACCACCTGGAAACCTTCCAAAGCATAAATGGAATTGTGATTTACTGTATGAAGTCAAGATTGAAATCAAATTGTTTAATTGCTTATTCATTTTCTGTTGCAGTTTAGTTGTATAGAAATGTAATGCCTGGTGACTTTAATATCCAGGTTGACTGTGATGAATAAATCCTGGGATTGCTGCACTGCCTTCAACTTCACATAACATATCAACGCTCAAACATGAACATACTCTGGACCTGGTGTGTGCAACCAACTTAACCATCCACAACCTATCTGCCCACGACCCTGCCATGTCTTGACCACCTGGCCATCTCCACTGACATTGACCACCACCGCATACCAACATCACTTCACTCTTATCCTCCATTCACAACAAAATGTCGTACTTACCTCCTCCTGCATCTGCCTTCCCCACTGAACTCTCTTCCTGTCTTGATCAAGTGGCCTCCATTACTCGGTCAGTTTTGTAAAAGCATTCTGCTTCGTCCTCTCAAACAAAGCACTCTCCAAGGTTCCTTGCTTGGTCCCCTCCTCTTTATCATCTACTAACTTCCTCTAGGTAACCTCATCTAATGACATTGTCTCATCTTCCAGTGTAATGCTGATGACATACAACCTTACATAGCCACCTTTTCCTTCACACACACAACATACATCACTCTCACAAACTGTCTGGATGAAGTAAAAGCATAGATGCAACTTTTTCATATTGAACAGCTCTAAATCAGAAATTATAATCATTGGCCCAAAATGCTTCATAAAATCCACCAATAACTTTTCCTTAACAATTGACAATTACTGCCCTTCTCCCATCCTCCTAGATCTGAAACCTTGGTGTCATTTTTGACCCCACATTTTCTTTTGACGATTATTCATTCATCTAAAAAATATCATCTGCCTTCAACCTTCTCTGTCATCTTCAGCCTTCAGAAACACTTCAATACTTTTATCATATCCAGACTCGCTTACTGCAACAGCATCCTTATTGGCATGCCCTAATAATCTTCTCAGTAAATTCTCTGCTGCCCATCTCCTGACTCCTGTCTCGCTCTCGTGATCACATCATCCCCAATTCTGTGTAACCCACACTGACTCCTCATCCCCCTTCTGTGTCCAGTTCAAGATCCTCCTCATCACCTGCAAAGCCCTCAATAACATGGCTCCCTCCTACCTCTCTCATCTCCTCCACCATCACACCCCAGCACCAGACCTCTTCTCAAACCTTCTTTCCATCCCCCAGAGGACCAAACACTGAACCTGGGATGACAGAGCCTTCTCCAGTGCTGCCCCTGTGGACTCTGGAACTTTCTCCCCATGGACATCAAATGTTCTGCCACCTTCCACCACTTTGAAACATCACTCAATACTTACCTTTTTAAAGAGGCTTTGAACTAACTCTCAGCTCTGTCACTGATGCTGATGAGTATGTTTTTTTTTTTTAATCGTTTTCCCTTTTATTGTATTTGTTCCTTTTCCCCACCTATTCTTAATACTGTATCTTTCAAGGTACTTTTTACCTATGTAAAGTGTCTTTAGATGCCTTTAAAAACACTCATATACAAAATGTGTTATTGTTATTATTAATATCATTAAATATATATAAATAAATGCTTCTAAATCATCATTTAGGTGACTAAAATGCCCATGGAAGATTAATGGCACTTTCAGATAAGAGGAAAAAAGGACACATTACCAACTAATAATCTCCGCTAATACAGGTACGAGCTCTTGCTAAAATAACATTAAAACAGTGAGGCTCCTACAGCAGTTGGATTGGACAGCTGATGTGAATTTCAAGCAGGTATAGAAGCCTCTCCACATCGCTAGACATATGGGCCAGTGCAGCCTTCAAGTGAAAATATGAAGCAAGCACTGGCCCTAGTGGAAATATTGTAATCATGAATTCATTGCACATGAACGAACCATGAACTATCATAGCTGAGTTGCAGAAATGTGAAGTAGATGGACAGCAGTGAAGCTGTGTTGGTTATGCGTTTTTACTAAAAAAAAAATACTTGAATACACGATAAGGTGTTTTCATCTTCAGAAGACAGGCGTAGGTTTTCTGTCTGTAACACATATTCACAGGTGGTCACTCTCCCTGGGTGGTGTAATAATAATGAGGTGAGAGTGTCAACAGTTCTCTCACATACTGCAGGGGAACAATTCTCCGTAACTGCAGGTATTCACATCATCATGGAGGCAGCAAGATGGTATTGGATACTGTGGAAACAGACATGGACACCCACAGTCCACAGGCCAGTGCTGCAGCAGGATGCGTGGAGGGAGCTAAACATGGGCAGATTAATGTGCATCACAGCAGGAGTCCGTCTGCTGTAGTGCGATTGTTGAATTTGGAATAACGATGTGATTGGATCAGAGTTGGCCAGAGGACTGCACTGAAAGATTGAGAACTCATCAGGGAAAGGTTAATTTAATACCACAGGGCATGATTAATTTCAAGTTTAAACACTAACACTCATGCACACTCCCGCTCTCTTTATCTACACCACTGATTTCCTGGGAGTGAACGCTTTCAGATGCCAATAAGTGGCTGAGCAGTTACAGTGACCATCCCTCAGCGCACCCTCTGAGGTATCCCTAAAGTAACCTCCAGTGCTGTGAAGCTGACCCTGACCTCTGACCAAGCTGTGGAGGGAGCGGGAGAATAGGAATGCAAAAGGCCTTCCCTTTAGGCAGGAATAAACATTCACATTATTATTGGTGGGCTGAGCTGATGACATAACACGTGACAGCTCTTTGAGCAGGAGAGAACATTTGGCATAGAGTTTACTTTAAAATGTTATCTAATATCAAGAGCTTTGACCACTTCTAGATCAGGGTGAGGGAGATAGTGCTGATAGTTAAAATCGTAAGAAAAAAAAAAAGCACTTACAATTTTTCTGTGTTATAATGCTATGCCTTTTAACAGGATGTTGTATCAGCAGTGACTGTAGAGTAGTATGAGCAGGTTTAGCAATAACATGAAAAGAGAAAAGGCAGTGACAGCTTATTATCACCCATAATTACATTTTGTTGCTAGGTGACATCTAGTGGCTGTAGTAAATTATGACAGGAGCAAAGGGAAAAGTGCAGTGACGTATTATATACAGTCTGTGTCAGGAGGAAGTTGGGGTGGATGGATGGGTCAACAAAATACAAGAATTTGACACAGGAGAGCGGCGTTTGATTCCCACCTTAAACTAGCTGTTTATATTGTAACTACGACAACAAAGACTGTGTAATGTTGAGGAACTTATTTAACCCAAATAACGATCCAAATTATGATCTTTTCCAAAACCTAACCAAGATCTTTTCCTGAATCTAACAAAGTCGTTTTTGTGCTTACTAACACTCCAGATTCTTCAACTTTCCAAACTGCTGCTGTCAATGTGCAGCTAGTGCATTCATGAAAAACCAGGGTTTTAATGCTGTACCATATACCCACACTATGACTATAAAAGTAAAACAGATGCAGGTTTTATTTCATAGGTGAGGTGAGGCTGCTTGTGGTAAGATTTCTTTATGGTAATTATTGTTTAAACTTTTTATTCAGTGGTACACTGTGATTTAATCATTAAAAATATGTTGTTTTGACAAAGTAAATTTACATATCCCAGGAGGTGATGGGAAGGGGACTTTCTGATTACTTATTCATTTAAATAAGAACCTCGTACACTGAAGTTGCTTAATTTGTTCCCTCAAATTAGGTACTTGTGTGCTGACATCCAGCTGCTAAGAAAACTTTCAAACACAAGAACATTTTTAAGGAGGTAGGCTCTGTGCTGCCACTTCATTAAAACAAACAAAAAAAATTAGGTCCAACTAGGCAGCAACCATTAGTGGTCAGAGGATCACACAGACTGAAAACAAATCTCCAGGTTAGTCAGCTTTATTCGGAGGAGAAAATAAAGGTCAACAGTAAAATTATAACCAAAAGGGTGCCTGTTGTAAACATTTGAACTCACAGCCTAATTTCCTGGTTCAACTTTGACCTTCTGCACTTGCTGTAGTTGCTGTGCACACTTCTGGTTTTCCTATGTAATGAGGGGTTGTCAGTAGTGACATTATGGGTGCACTCCCAATTAGTTGAACTCTAAATAAAGTGGTAACTAATGTGGCAAAACTGCAGACATGTTTACAACCTGTTTGACTGTCTGACCACTCATCTCTGTTGCTACATTGGACCTGGACCTTTTTAGTGATGTCGCCACAGTGCAAAACCTGAGCAATTAAACTGGTGAGTTACAGTTTTATCATAACCAATAGAACCGATGGAGAGAACTAGGAAAATAAAACCTAGGCTCTAATAAACCATAGTTTTCCCTTAATGTACAGTATAGAATGTTCTGTACATCCACAGAACACAGTGCTACTCGCTGATTTTCAACTGGAGTGGCTCTATAAGTACATAAATTACATATTTCATTTAGTGACTGCAGCACACCAGTATTAACAAGTGGAGTTTTTAAGTTAGCCCAGATTTATGAGCTCTAATCCTGTAAATCCTGTAAACCTCAAGCCATCTCTACCCCCAGAGCAGTTGCAAAGCCTTACAGAGGCAAAGTTATCACAGAGTACTGGGAAAGTGGTTCCTGTGATGTATTATTTGATGTCCTGTGATCATTTAAAAAAAAATGAAAAAATTCAACCTCTATAAAGTCTTTATAAAGTTTCTCTCTGCCTAAAACAGCAGCTCAGCAGATTGAGTGCTGCTGTACTCATACAGAGGTTTGTGCACATCGTGGAGGTGGAGTGATGTAGATGAAAAGATTTAACAATATTTAAGGTGGTAACATGTATCTGTGTGTGTGTGTGAGTGTTCTGATGGTTTCCATGGTGATCCGGCCAGTTGTTCTAATGATACTCGACGCCGCGCAGACAATCAGGGTTTTCCCAATAGAGACCAGTGTAATTGGTCCCAGCAGGGGAGAAAATGAATTCAATTTAACTTTATTATTAGTATTCAGAATTTTTTAGGAAAGTGAGAGAGAATCTGTCAGAGAACCCTCAATGAGTCATAAATCATACGAGCACCAGTGTGACAGTGTGAGGAGTGCAGCTGGAGTCGAGTCTTTTCAGAAATTAATTAACAATAGAAACCTGCAAACTTGAGAGGGTGTAATTGATACTCTCTTGCAGCATTTCATACAAGTGGAGAAAACTCAACAAAAGAAATATTATGTAAAATTAGATGTATGCAGCATTTACTCAACTGTGGTTCATTTTCATGGATGATTAGGGCTACAGTGCTTACATATGAGTGAGTCAGTATGTACTGTGGATGCTGGTGGATTTACCTGACTTCACTTTCTTTAATGTGTCCAGCTAGTTCTTCCACAAACTTCTCCCCTTTCATCCAGTAGATGATGGGCCGTCTGTTTTCTCCACTGTAGCCAAAAAATGCCTTGCAGTCCAGACTAAGAGGCATACCTGCAACACACAACACAACACTCTTACAACACAAACTACAGCACAATGACGGACAGCAAAATCCTCTCTGCTGTAGCTGCAAAATGAACTGTGGTTCAGTCTTCGGGGGAAACGTACAGTAAATACAACATCATGGATGTATTGAAACTGGCATACAACAAAACCAGCAATATTCCACTTTGAGCAAAGAAGTGGCAGTTAATGAAGAAAGCTGGTGTTTTATATTAAGTATTAAAGTTAGTGTCTTATTGCTGCGCAGATGCTTGCAGGAACAGTGGGGAGCCTGCTTCCACCCTCAGCAACCAATGTAGACAGCCGCTACAGGTGGGCCTCAGGGTGGCTGATTGGAGCCTCTTGAATTGGGAAAACTATTAAATTAAAGGCTGAACAGACAATCTTGCTGGTGGCAGTGGAGTCATGAATGAAAAAAACAGTTTCCAAACCTGTAATTTATTATGTAGCACTAATCTAACTTCATCAATATTTCAATTTGTGGAGGAAAAATGTGACAGTGAAGCAGGAAATTACTGATTAAATGGTCAATTCACATAAATAATTCGTTTCTCTCTGACCCACAGTAATGTCTAGCCAATTGAAGTTTTTCCAGGTTCACTGCTCAGACTTTTGCTGCCAACCCACTGCAAGCTGAAGGAAAGGACAGGTTTCACTACATTTTGCCCTTCATAGAAAATAGCGACTTTCAGTGCCAACAGAAATGAAATTGTATTCTCATTCATTGCCATGGTGAACAGGTGATTTGTGGGAACGCATCCAGAGATGTAGATGTGAACTGTTGTACACACCTCAGTTAGTGATGTCATTGTTGTTTTTTTCATCAGCTGTCACATTTCTTTTTTTGTGACATCATTGATTGTTGTGTTGCCTGAAATGCAAAATGCTTAACATTTTAGTTGTAAAGTGACCACCTGCAGTGAACGTGAGTCAATGCTAAATTATCATCCATCCATCCATTTTCTGTCCTAATCAAGGGTCGGGTCATGGTGGCAAGTGAAGTAGTCCAGATGTCCCTCTCTCCAGCAACACTTTCCATCTCCTTTGGGGGATCCTTCATTGGTGTATCATTATATATTATCATTATAATATCATCAGAGTATCAAAATGCTTAGCCTATGCCAGGGTGTTGGAAAGGAGGCTAAGTTATCTTTAAGACTACAAATATACTTTCTGCCATGCTTCAATAGGACATGCTGCGTCCTGCATTAGCCCTGAATGTTGGCACTGGAACGATGACACTCCTAGGGATGCTCAAGTAAAAAAACTATGTAGCCTAAAATGGGCTATCTTATAAGCTATGTGTGTACTTTATGTGTTGAAAGGGCTGTATGCAACAGGTTCTGTGATCCAGTACTCATGATATAGTGCTGCTGGAAGAAAGGCTCAACTAATACTAGCAACACACACACACACACACACACACACACACACACACACACACACACACACACACACACACACACACGTAATCACACATATGTGTGTAGACTGCATCCATACATGCTCTCGCACAACCTCCTGTTAAGACCTTGAAACCACCACTCTGTGATTACAGCTATCATTGGTGATGATGGAGTATTAATGAGCATTTTAATGAGCGCTACCTCATCAGGCAGTCAATTAGCAGATAATTATGATAGACCTCAGTATTATCATAATGATGGCTCTATCAGCACAGTCAAGAACCACCACTGAATGCTAAAGGTTGTGTATATATCTGTGTTTGTTGTCAGAGAAGCACTTGAACCGAATGCTAATACTTAACATATTTACATTTTAGGAATTTACTGTAGCTTTATGCAGAGTTAGTAGGAGATGCAGGTGGTTCTGTGAAGGTTGTGTCTCCGTCCTTGTGTGAGGTAAATCCTCGAAACGATCATTTTCAAAAGGTAAAACATTTCACAAAGTGGTTAGGTTGAGTAAACACTGGGTTTTATCAATTGGTCATGGCAAAATGCAGCTGTTTCATATGGAAATGTCAGATGATTGCTTTATGTTTGGTTCAATTGCATCATTTATTCTGACTGACGGAAAAAGGGAAGACAGAAGGCTTTGACTTCTGTCTGTCTCAAAATTGTAAAATTTAACAAGCTGAGATACAAAGCCTCGTACACTTCTGTCTTGCATGTGTGTGTTAGTGGGTTTTTATGGTGTGAAGTGTGCTGAGACAGGCAGCATCCTGTACTACACACACTCAGACTCAAACACACACACACACACACATACACACACACACTGCAGAAACCGGTAAAAAAAATGGATTAGAGTGAAATTAGTTTAGCTTGATTGTGTGTGTGTGTGTATGTGTATGTAGGTGTGTGTATTTAGGTGTGTGTACGTGTGCTCCGCAGTAATTGATTAGCACCCTGAGGGTGTGTTTGTGTTCTCAGCATGTTATGGTGATTAAAATCATCAACTTTGTTTGCACTTGTGTGGCATGAGGGTGTATGTAGCATGGTGTGTGTGTGTGTGTGTGTGTGTGTGTGTGTGTGTGTCGATCTCCAGCAATCAGAACACCAGCCTTGAAACCCAGTCTGCAAATCATAGAGTCCCATCATCGTTTATATTAGGGGCTAAAGCAGCAGGAGGTTTAGAAGAACACTGTTGAAAGCTCGGTGCTGTGTTGTTGTCATCGGTATCAAAGAAAGACTTTGTACAAGTGACTGATGGGAGCTTTCTCAAGTCGGTCCATCATCACTCCACACCTCCGCCGAATGTGATCACACCTAGATGTTGTTTCCTTTGGTGTGAAAAGTACTGGGATGAGTCACTCTGCCCAATCACAAGTTTGTAAACAAAGGTCACATGACAAGAGTCTGATCTGATTCCAGTCTTTGTAACTTTGGTTCAGGCTGACAGACTTGTCTGTGCTCTTTAATGCCGCCTCTCACACATTCATAACACGTACATGCACATAAAGAAGCAGCTGAATGTGAGCATCAGTCCAGACTGTGCTTTGCCCTTAGTTCACTTTCTAATGCTGCTATCCGAGCATGAGGAACTGCTGGTTATCAGACATCAACATCTGTTCCCCTCTGCATGTAAAGCCCTGTGTTTTCAGCTTGTTTTCTTGTCGCTGGCACAGACCACATCCACACTGCAAGAACTCTCACTGCAGTTTTCCATATTTGATTTGTTCTTATCAGCCAGAATTAAACAAATGAAGGAAACAGTCTTCCACTCTAAACATGGCTGATGTAAATGTGATTTTATTACAGTTAACTGCTGCAATGTTTCTAGTGTTTAATATCAGTTCAGATTAATCAAATTAACCTTGATACTCTGAAAGCTTGGGAATTTGAGAAAAAAATGAAGGCCTTGAAAGCTTTTAAAAATAGACACAAATAGACATGGGTCTTTGAGTGCTTGAATTTATATCATATGTGCAAAAAATAGAGATTGAATTGAGGCTATGTGACGTCTACATGTGTGCAGGAGACCACACAGTCTGTCAGCCCTCTCATTTTTTGTTGCTTATAGAGCCTGCTAATTCTCATTATATAAATTCTTAGTTTTTTAACAGTAATTATCATTGATCCATGTCTCAAAGTATGCTATGTTGTGTCCTTGAATTTGACAGAATTGGGCCCGGAAAGTCATTGAAAAGTCATTGAATTTGATGTTTAGGAAGGTGTGGGAGCCCTGATTTATTCAAAGTACTGATTCTGTAAGTAAATCTTCATATGAATAGGCATATACAGTTTACATAGATAAACAATATTACACAGATCACAGTACAAGAGACGTGGTGTAACCAAAAAGCATCATGAAGGAAAACATTGAACCAGTGTTTCATATTTCTCATATTTCTATATCCAAATTATTATGTGAATGTGAAAAGGGTCCTTAAGACCAACAAGCTTATATTTACCACCCAGGTCTGCACTTCCACACATCTCTACAGAGGGATTTAGCATTTTTCAGCTGATTGTTTTGGTCTTATGGTCCATAACTTCACAGTTTTGATTCTCTCTCACTGCTTTCAGCAGCTATTTTTAGAGCTCTGATATATCCACTATGCACGACCTGCTGAGCAGCGAATGGTAGCCAGACCAATAGTTTGCCACTTGTCATTGAACATAATGAAGCCTTTAGTGGCTAAAGACTCAGACTTACATTAACAGGTGGACTACAAATATGACTCCTAATGAATGCTAATGTTGCTCTGTGTCTGCTGGATGTGTAAATAGGCAACTGTTCTTCTTAAATATGCTGTTTTCAGACTGTCATATTGTTTTGGCTAATATAATATCATATGATGCTATCAAGATGCAATCTACATTGTTGTAAGGATCCCATACTGTACTGTAGTAGGTTAATTTAATATAGCCGTCATGTTGGGAACAATTAAAAATATGTCAGTTCCTCCAGAATCTCAGAGCTCTTGCAATTATTAAAGCTGACACTATTAAAAAAACAGAGATTACATTTGTTATTTTCTGATATATTGCAGTAATGTTGTAAAAAAAAACATATTAAGATTCAAAATGATCTTCAAGTTTTTAATCACTTTAAACAGTTTTCTTTGACAAATATTCAAAGAGATCTGTAAAAACAAATATTTAATGAACGTGTTTATTTCCTAAAACAAAATGAATTCAGCACCAAACCTCACACACTTGTTATCCATAAGCTATACAGAGTTTAAATAACATCTCTTCTCATCTATTTTTCTGTCAAATTACTATTTAAAATGTATTTTGTTAAATTAACAGTCTGAGTGTAAATACATGAGTTTCACAGTAATCAGTGTTCTTGAGTCGTTCTTGCAATTACAGGACAAGATCCCAAATTCAAGGTGAAACTGATCCGTGGAAGTGAAGTCTCTGATACCTGCACAGTGAGGGGAAGGGGCAGAGGCTGGTGGGAAATTCATAGAGACACAGACAGAGTCTGTCTTCTTTGCTTCTTCCACTCTAACTATTGTAGCTACTATTCACATCATTAGTCTGTTCCACTTGCCACTCTTTGGGTTCCCCTGCTCT